AAATCACAACCCCACTCCCCAAGCATAATGAAGCCTAGCTGCCACAGAAGTTAGAGGATCGTTGCAGGGATTACTGAGAAACAGTCTGGCTCAATTTAGATAAGAAGTCTTTATATATTTTACCGCCAGTACGTTAAGTTGGCCTATTAACCCCATTTGACAGATGGAAAAGAAACAGCATAGTGATGCCTGTGAACTCAAAAGGTTGAAAACTTATAGTTCACATGGCTTAAATACAAGATCATGCCTTTTTGATCAAAATGAAAAAATTGTATCCATTTTATCAGAGGGCTGGAACACCTCTCCTATGCTGACAGGCTGAGAGAGTTGGGGTTTTTCACCCTGGAGAGAAGGGTCCAGGGAGACCTTATTGTGGCCTTGCAATATACAGAAGGGGCTTATAGGAAAGATGGAGTGTGACCTTTTAACATGGCCTGCAGTGACAGGAGAAGAGGCAACTGTTTTAAAACTGAAAGAGGGTAGGTTTAGACTGGATGGAAGGAAGAAATTTTTTATGATGAGTGCAATGAGACACTAGCATAGGTTGTCCAGAGACACTGTGGATGCCACATCCCTGGAAGTGCTCAAAGTCAGGTCAGATGGGGCTTTAAGTGATCTGATCTACTGAAAGATGTCCCCTACCCACAGCAGGGGGGTTGGACTAGATGATCTTTAAAGGTCCATTTCAACCCAAACTGTTCTATGATTCTTTATTCCACTGTTTTAGCATATATTCATTATGTATTTCAATCATGTAGTTTGGAAAAGAGCTTCAAAAGCTTCAGAAAAACCCTCAAGAATCTCAAAAGCAAGGACAGCTTGGGACGTCATTCCTAAGTAGGAGCTGATTCAAAGCAGGCACACTCTTAGATCTGATAATACACACCTAGTCAGACACCAGATGGCCTGTCCACAATCAGCCAGGGAAAAGTTACTGTGCAGAGAATTTAAACAAGGGCCTCCCAGATTGCAGACCTACTACCCCTGCCACTAGATAAGCCTCAGTGTTGTTTCAACTTGAGAAACTTGGAACAGAACACATGGGCAGATTTTCCACTGTGTCAAGTTTCACAGGAATATCTTGATTTTCTTCTATTCAAAAGGCATTCTAAGATGGAAAGATTGAGACAGATGGTGATTTTCCCCAAATCAGGAAAACTGCCTGTTAGAGAAACAATTTTGTCTCTCTGCATCAACAGAATGGTAAAGTGATGCAAGACAACCAAGACATTTGGCCAGAGGGACATGAAAATGCATCCTCCTCAAACTTCAGCTTTACATGCTCATCACTCAAGGAAGCCCAGCAGAAATTCCCACATGTAAAAGGCTGAGTTGTTAAAAAACTCACAAGTGTCATGTTTCACAAAGAAAGGCCTGTGACTCAACACTGGTCAAGCTTACAGAATTTTAAGCCAAGTTGTCAGCTGTTAAAAACAGCAGCTTTTTTCCTTTTTTTTTTTTTTTCGGTTGTAACGGAGATATATTTCATTATTCCTTCATCCACTGCGATAAGAAGGAACTCTTACTGAAAGAAGGGACAATGACACCCACAATCTTAATGTGAAAGGTTTAAAATTTTACCATCAACTGTAACCAGCATCATTAAAACCCATGATCACATGGAGCTGAAGCTCCTCTAAAAGTAATATCAGTAACATGACAGCAGAAATATAGCATGGAGACCACAGTCATGCCACTAGACATGCTAACTAATTTTTAAAAACTAACACGTTTCTAGTAAGAGCATTAAATGGGACAATTTTATATAAATTAATAGCCAGCTGTAGATAAAAGCGATGATCAATATCTACCATTATTACTTATAATCAGATAAAATCCTACCAAGCACAGTTAACCTCTCCATACAAAGGGCAAAAGCATATAAATAAACCATGCTGACTATTAAATTCTCTGAACGTGGCCAATCAGAAATGATTGAACTGCCACAGCTGATGCTGAGTCTTGGACACTCTCTTTTATGGTTGTCACTACAGCATCTTTAACAGCACTAAGCGATAGGAGTCAAAATTAGAAGAGAATGGCTTTTATAACTGTCACCAAACAGCAGTAACTCTTGTTGTGGACCTTTGAAAGGGGAAAACCAATTAATTCCAACCAACCTATTCATTGTATTGGACCTTTTTTCAATACATCAAACAAGACATGTAAAAGTATGGAAATTAGTACGAAAACATTCTAAACCAGGATCTAGGAACAGTCTTACAGAAGTAGAGGCTTGGAGAAGAATACCTACCAGTAGAGATAGAGACTCCCTTAGAGATATAAGCCCATGTGCATGTTCACAACCTGACCAGCTAAAACATCCAAACAGTCGGGATCAGGCTTGCCTGTCTTAGCAGTGGCTAAGAACGGTCTCACATGTCTGAATGCAGTAAAAAAAGAAATTAACCATGTCCCAATCCTGAGCTAAGGAATACCTTCCCTTCTTGGGAACAGAAGACCAGGTAGGAAATCATATCGCAAACCAATCTGTTTCCAACTCAAAGGAGTTTTCAGAGCCAGGTGTGTCTCTCTCCTATACTCAATTACCAAAAAGCCTCCAGTTCCCTTGCTTGTCTTATCCACACTGACAAACTGCAGAGAACCCATCCAACTTGGCAAATGAGGTACCAGAAGCAGACCTATCTGCCACACTATTTTGAAAGAAATGCGATCTGAACACTTTTTTTTAGGAATAGTTCCTTTGGAAAATAAAGAATACACATGAACACTTGACAAGAACAATCTTCTACCACAAGTCAGGAAGTATTTAAAGTCCATTGGAGACACTGATGCCACAGAAGTATTTTTTAAAATAAAAGTCAGCCCAGTGGCCAAAATTTAGGAAAGACAGAGGATAAAAGCTTTCTAAGAAGGAAAGAAAATAAAATGTGTCGATGAAAATTCTTTAAGCAAAGGAGCTTGTTCTGACTCTACCAAGAGGTTAGAAGCAACTGAAAGAAACAGTCAACTTTACAAAAGCAGGTAAAGCATTTGTTTTGGCAGTGTTTGGCTGCACCTATTTGCATACTGAGGCAAAAGAAGTTCTCTTTAAGGGGCTTGTGCACAGGTATGGTATTGATCTATACAAACAATCCAGCTACCAATGCATGATCTTTGCTCTTTCTCTGAGGTTTCTCATATTCACAGCAGATGACTGCAAGGATCATGCTCCAACCTGAATAAGTTACCCAGAGACAGGATCAATGTTCTTAGCTGAAAAGATGATGTGGGACTGCTCTATTCAATGCTTGAAGGCTTCAGTGATCACATAGTACTTAATGTGATCTGAGCTCCAAGCAACAGAAATACAGATTTCTGGAAAGGACGAATCCTTCAACATGCTGCTGAGGGTCACTTGCACTACAGTAGGAACTACCATGACTACTACACTAACAGTTGCAGCTTCGACTTCAGCTGCTCCTTGGCACAAGTTGAAAAGCACTTGCAGGTCCATCTGCTCTCCATGAAACTTCTTTGCTATGGAAATAAAAACACAAGCATTTTTCCTTGCTTATATCTTACAACAAAAGAAAGCTTCTGTTCTGGGGACCTTCAAAAGAAAACTGGTAGGTTAGTAATGCTGACCTACATGAAATTCAGAAGCCGCTTCAAGTTAATATTTTGGGTTGATCATACAGTGATTTTTATGCCTCCTTTTGTCAGGACAAAAGTTTAAGCTAACAGGGTTTGAATTTCACAAGTGATAGCTACTCTAATACAAGTGATAGCTGCTACAAAGACTGTCTTCCTGAGAAAGTGCTACAGCAACCAATTTAAAAGGCTGACTTGTAACACTGGGGAATAGGATCACTCCCAAAGGGGAGAATCCTTACTGAGCTGTGAGGTAACTGATGGAAGTCCTAAGCCTGACAGATTCTGAAGTCCGGGAATCTGGGAGTCACTGACACAAACACAAGGTCAGCACTTGTGCTCCTCCTTCCCTTTGGGCCTTCAGTAACAGACCCCGTGAATCACTGTATCAGAAAGGACTGTTTGCAGCTGATCCCTCTGCACACAGGGCTCTTGAGAGTGTGGACAGTGGAGAAGGTGAAGCAAGTAGAACTTGAGGAAAAATAAACTAGCCATTGCTTTCACAGTATACACTGGATTTTTGCATTGCCACTAAGTTCTTCTTCCAAAGAAAAGACACTCCTACAAAAGAAAATTTAGATCTTGGGATGATGCCAAAAACCTAGAGGCCCAACAAATATGGGGCTTTCTCCTGGTTATTTTTAGAGCTACAGGCTTAAAATCCCTGAAAACTTGTTAATAGGTATGTGGCCTTCCTGTTAGCAAATGAACACCTGAAACTGTATCAAAACTTAAGTCATGATGTATGACTCAGCCTGATGTTTTAGGTAGCGGGTTACAGCAGGTCCATGAAAAATAAAGGATAAAAACAAACAAATGAAAGACATAAGCAATAGATCAAAAGACAGGAGGCTGATAAGACACAGGAAGAGCTATGACTTAATCTGCAGCCTTGTTAAAATACGTGAAGAGGGCACAGCAGTGTTGCTGCCAGACCAAAGAAGTCCATGGCTGCAGGTCTTTTGGTATACACATCCTCATCACTGAGAAAATGGTAAAAAGACTGTGTAGCACTTTTGTGAAACAAACCTACAGCCTTGCAGGAAAAGTGATAACACTATTATTTCTACCTTCATGGAGTTACAGAATATCAAAACAAGTGATTGTTGGCGTGAAAATCTAGTGACTTGACATTTCAGGCTGATGTTTACTTGAGTGGTTATCTTTTGAAAACATCTTGATAAAAGAAGCATTTCAAAGCTCTAACAAAGGGTCCCAAATTGGCCAAGACCTGCATGGAAACAAGCTTTAAAGATTCCTTACTCTAAGAATCTGGTTACTTTAGACAACTTATTGCTGCAAAATTAGCTTGCAAACTACTGGGAAACCAAGATTTCAGAAAATTCTTCATACGCAACATTTGCTAGAATACATTAAATTTCACAGACACCTTCCAATCTCCTTACCTCTTGTCCTGAAAGGTAGTATGCTGCTAGAAGACCACCAATGAAGCGAATATTGACCTCAAAAACAGACACTTCAGAATTCTATAACAGAAGGACAGTAAATAATTAATCAACTCCCTAATCAAAGAAGGAAAAAAAAAAAAATCGTCAAGGCAGAGGCAAGTACACACCCTAAACCAAACTGCATGCAAGGGTTTCTACTGTTTCAGTATCTAGACCCATACTGAAATTCCTGTGCACACCTTCACAACACCAAATGATAATTCTAGTTACAGTTTCAACTGATTTTTAAAAATCAAATTAGTTTTTCTCCTGCTCCCTAGTCATATTATCACCACAAAGTACAATGAATGTTGTTTGGAGATGGTGGGAAAGAAGTCAAGGACTGTACATTTCCATAATTCATCAACTTTTCTCTTCCATTTAAGCATAACACCAAAACTTCCGGGTTTACAGGATAACGTAGAATAACAATTAGAGAATTCCTGTAACGTGCTTTCTTAACCTGAATTACCAGTGTGCAATCTCAAATTCAGAGCTCCATTTTAACATAGTCTGTACCTAGGAATAGCCTTTATGTATTCAATGTTATGACAAGTACTGAAAAATCACCGAGAAACTCAAGAGAAAAAAATAATTGTATTGCCTTCCTCCACATTAATATCCTTGGGCTAAATTCACCAGTATCTTTCAACTCATTTAACTCACTGAAAAATTAACAGGAACTAGACAGTTTTAACATTTTTCTGCCTCCCTCTGCACCCTGTTCACTCTTTTGCCTGCATACACCCCCCATCTGTCTCCCCCATAAACTTCTCTTCATTAAACCCATTAGACACATAAATGCAGTTTTATTAAAAGATTTTGAGATAAGGGAGACTCTTCCTTTTATCCAGAAAAGCCACTACAATGTACACTGTACAAACTGATCCACCAACTAGTACACAGTTGAAATTATTTATAGGTATATCTTTCCTTTCACACTATTTCTATGGCACCTGCGTATGTATAATGCATTTTGCTTGTATCCAAAATAAAGGCATTTTGCACATATTAATTACTTCAGAAAGTTTGTATGAATACTTTCAAGATTTCCTCAAATAGCACTGACCATTAAAAGTCTAAAGTTTGAAATACCCCCAAATACAGATTTTTAGTAAAAGACTTATTTTTATTCACATACAGGTGATACAAGCAAAATATCAACAATGCAGCATACAATCCCACTTAATATCTATTAAAGTCATGAATCACAAAAGCAATGGTACAGCCTAGAGTGAAATCAATGATTTCTATTTCCCAGTAAAAGAATCCAAGAGGAACAAATTTATGTATGTATTTATTTATAAACTTCAAACCATATAAGGAAATTACACATGTCTGGTGTGCTTCTAAGACAACTCATTAACCTTCAGAAATGTTTTTTGATACATAGGAAGCTGTAATTGAACCTCAGTGGGTCATGTAAATTTCTTCCACCCAAAATGCTACGTTAATTCTGAAAATTTATATTAAAATTGCCTCACAGGAGACAAAAGTTATGGAAATAATTTCCTTCACCGTCATAATGGTACCATTATGTCTACACTGTCTGCTATATTTAGGGTCTTCAGTTTTAGACTGAATAATTATCTGGCACTAATTGAAAAAAGCAGAGTAGAATTTCTTTAATGTTTGCCAGACAGTCAATGTATAAAAAAAAAGGAAAACACTGAAAGAAATAATGTCTGAAATGTAGGATACACTATAAAACCAACAGTAAGCATCTGCTCAATTCTGACTGCATACCTACATTTCTTTTTGTGCACTACTGAATGAAAAACTATTTCTGGAATCACAGGGCAAGTCCAAGGATTGAAATACAAATTCCGGCATAGAGTCTGTGACAGTCCCAAAATTAGTAATAAGAATACTAATGAATAAGGATAAAAATAGAGCCATTTCTTCCATTTAACTCTTCCAAACTCTGATAAAGGATGTCAGATGCTGTACGATCAACTGGGAGATTCCTGTGATCGATTCAGAACCTGTGGGCAAACTAAGACAACTCAAGTGGCATTCTTCATGTTAAAACATCTTAAGGAGACAGAAGAGATTGTATTGTTAAGTAATTCATACACTGTTATTTCCAATTACTATCAGCTAGCAAAGCCTCACTTTCTGCCTCTGAGGTCCTGTTGGTTCTCACTGTTCACTTTCCCTTTCTTCCATTATCCAGTTATAATTTGTACTTTGAAAATACAATATAAATATATGGATCTTCACTTATAATTAAAGTGTGAAAGGGTTGGGGTGTTTGGGTTTTTTTCAAAATGAAGTTACAAGCACAGAGAACTTCACTAAAGCTTGTATCTGATACTCTGAATCATAAAGTTTTTAATTTCCACATGAAAGACCTCTTCTGTCTCTCCCCAAGAGGAACACTGTGAAAAGATGAGAGAAACATTAGAGTAAGCTCTACTCACCACACTGAAATCAAGATTTTTGTCAATCCACTCTTGTCCTTCTCTGAATTCATCATGAAGTCCCATGATATAAAGAGTATCCAATGCATCTACTATGGTAGCACCCATTTGTGAGTTTCCTACACACAAAAAAAGAAGGATTTATATTGCAAGTGATTATTTCATTACTTTTCTTAAAGATCACAAGCATGAGAAAATAACCCAAGCAGTAGCAAAGCAAAGTTGCTACAAAGATGATGGGACAAAGAATCATCAAAATGAGCAAGGAATTAGCAGCTAATGAGAAACCCACACTTCTCTTTCAAACCATTGGTCCTCTGGCACAATTTAGCTTCTAGGTAGAAAAAAATAAAAATAGAAAAAAAACCCTTCTCATCTGCTTTTCTAGCCTGAACATAAGCAACTGTGCTTTGACACAAAAAAAAAAAAAAAAAAAAAAAAAAAGAACAGAAAGACATTCAGCTTCAAAAAGCTATTAGGAATTCTAGGACAAGTGTTTAAAAAGCATATGCAAGATAAAGCAGTTGGTACTTGCAACAATGTCTTGCATTTCCCAACATTTACTACTGAAATGTTCAAAGTTTTGCAATTATGGAAGCTACCTGGAAAGCATGGACTGATGAGCAGGGGTGCCCAGGCTTGTCTTGACTGATAAAGCCCGAGCCCCAAGATGTCACTGCCTGCAGGGACCCACACTATGAGCTGCTAATGGATTCCTCAATTGCCATCATTTAAAGTGGAACATTTAAAGCCAAATAAAAATCAATGGTGCTTTACCCTAAAATGCCATTCACTTGAAACAGCAGCAATTTAGAGTTGATTGATGACTCATCGGTTTGTACAAGGGAGATTGGATGAAGCAGTGGTGAGCCACTGACCACCTTAGCCTTGACCTCCTTAAATCATCCCAACCTAAACTGTTGCCCTTAGTAGGCAGAGGTCTTTGTTTCTAGAGGAAAGCAAAACTTACCCTGGGCTTATTTCTTTTCATGTATTCTATAAAACTTTCTATGCACTAAGATAGTAGCTGAATTTCACTGTTCATTCAGGTATTCTATAAAACAGTACAATAACTATATGATTAGCAATTTAATGACAGTAGTCTCCTAACAAATTAAGGTTTGGGGGTTTCATTGTTGTTTTTGTTTGTTGTTTAATGTGCTTTTTATCCATGATATGCTCTCTGCAGTTCCTACTTGGTTGTTTCTATTCTAAATACGTAAAAATAAAAAATTAATGTTCTTTTTTTTCCCCCCTCAACCATAACAATGACTGAATTAAGTCATCACCCCCATTGTATTTCTTTCAGACTTCTAAACAACTGATAGTTACATGCTAGCTTAACTCCATTTTCAGGGATTTCTTTCCCTGAATAATAAAAATTAAGCACAACAGTGTCTATGACAAAGTAATCACCAACTAATTTCTTCCAAAATAGCTGCACATCTGTTTTAATTAATTTAAACTAGATATGGGAAGCCTAAAGTTCAAGCACAGATCAGGACACTACCTTTCACAAGATTAATTAAAACACATATCCTTTGACAAATTGGCCACCAGGCATACCTATAGCTCTCAGGAAAGCAATTCACAGTGGTACTCAAGTACTGTAAGGTTTAACACCTTCAGCCAAACGACAAATTCCATTGCTTGTGCTGAAGTAGAGGTTGCTCTGAGCAGAGCTACAACATGCACTAAACTTCACACCTTTTCATAAACACAATCTGACAGTTATCTCATTTACCACTTCAAAAATATGCAAATCAGACCATGACACAAGGACTAACTTCAGCATTAGCTGACAGGGTATTTTTGATATAAAGTTGGAAAGCGTTACACTGCTACAGCACTCAAAGTAATTTCTGTTCCTTTATTTAAACTACATTGATAAAATTTTCAAATATACAAGGTGCTTGAACAAATAGAGACACATAGCCTTGGGAAACCCTGAAAGCTCCTTTTTTAACCGTTCCAAAAAATAAAAACCTTCTAACTTAAACACATTAATAAAGACAATAGTAAGCTCTCATATTCTACAATTGGCATGGGGTGACAATACATTGCATGAGGATGGACTGCTGCGTCACCGTCCACCATCCCACAAAAAAAAAAAGTTCAGACCACTTGTCGTGGTTTGAGCCTGGTCAGCAGCCAAACACCACACAGACACTCACTCCCCCTTCTCTTCCAGCAATGAGAATGGGCAAATGAGCCAGGCTTGGCGTTCGAGATAGGACAGGAAGGGGCAAATACCGCTCTGCTCCCAGTATCTCTACCTCCTCCCCCAGGGGCGCAGGGGCAGGGAATGGGGGGTGCAGGCAGTGCTGCTGCTTCTGCCATCTGTGGTGGGGGGAGCTTCTGGAACTTCTTCCCCCTGCTCCAGCGTGGTCCCCCTCTCACAGCAGACAGTCTTCCACAAACTTTCTCCGATGTGAGTCCCTCCCACGGGCTGCAGCGTTCCCCACACTGCTCTGTCGTGGGTCACCAACTTCCTCCGACTGGATTCCCTCCCACGGCTGCAGCCCTTCCCGAGCTGCTCCGGCGTGGGACTCCCCCGCATGCTGCAATCCTCCCAGTGCTGAATTACAGCAGCGGGGCTGCCTCCTCCCACGAGACCCCGGCCTTCTTCGGGCACAGCACCTTAATCATCCAGGCAAAAAGCACAGGCCATAAATCAATGTCTGCTCCACTGTAGATCTCCATGGGTGGCAGGGGGGGGCCGCCCTGCCGTCTCCCCACAGGATACAGGGGGGTCTCTGCTCCGGCACACCTCCCCCCTCCTTTCTTCCTCCGTTCCTCCACTGACCTTGGTGTTCATGCAGCTGCAGCAACTCCTCCTCACAAGTCCCACTGCCCGTCACCACATCCCCTCTTAAATACGTTATCACAGAGGCGCAGCTGACTGGCTCGGCCTTGGTGCAGAGGTGGAGCTGACGGAGCTTTGAGAAGCTTCTCACAGGGGGCCACCCCTATAGCCCCCTCCCCTGCTACCAAAAAACCCCACCACTCACTCAAACCCAGGACACCACTCTACAATCATCCACAGTTTTCTAGATCTCAGAAGTGCATTCAAATGTTCAGACAGCAGTACATTGGGCACACGAGTATCTGCTTTCCAGCCCTCCAGAAAATATATTCAAAAATGGAAATTTAAACAACCTTTTTCATGGAGCTGTTTGCACAGAACCATGAAAGAAAGGCCACGGAAATGCCCATGATTATTTTTCCCATCTCACAAACCCTACAGATGCATTCAGACAGAGACTGAAAGTGGAAAGGCCAGAACTGCTGGAACAGAGCTCTTTCCAGAACTGACTAAAAGTATCCATGGATTCCTAACACGTCCCATAGTGATTGAACAATACGATTTCACCAAATACAGACAAGAAATTTGTTTTCATCCTCACAGTGTTAAAAGTGAACCTTCAAACCCATGTACTGAAATCTCACCTAAACCAGTAGTTCGCAATAGGGATTGACTGACAACTCGTTTCACACAAAATCCTTCAGTGTTTGCAGCCACAAAAATATATGCAGCCTGATAAAGAAAAACAGATTTGCTCAGGAATTTTTGCCCCTAGGAGTCAATTAGAGGCATAGGTTCATACTCTAAGCTTTTGCCTGGGCCACACTCGAATAATTTGTTCAAGCTCTCCCTCCTACTGCCTTTTTGCCCCTTTCTCTCATCTGTCTGTCTTTCCTAGGCCCACAAACATCCAACAACACATTACCGAGCAAAGCTCCTTCTGCTGACACATGCCTCTTCCCTGAGCAGTGACAGATGCCTGTTCCTGAGACGCAGATCAGTATGCTTATAGTTTCTAGATTCCATGTGAGTTAGTTGAACAACTGTTTCTCACCATGGTCTCCTAAGGATAGCATTTCTGTCCCAACCCATAACAAAATAGTAGTTTTTCTTCTTTCTTAATCATAGGTAGGCTATTTCAACCAAATTTGGTTATTTTTCCTTTTTCTTCTTAAACATATGATAACTAATCCTAACTGCACACCAGCACTTCCTTGAGGAAGACTCAGAACAATCTTTGTCTTTGAAACTTTTTTGGCTGAACACATTTCCAAAAGGTCAAGAGATAAGTCAATATTTTGTAACAGATTGTCTACCCAGTCTTTTTCAATTAGTCTCAATCAGACAGCACAAAGCACGCTAATTCCATCCTCCTGGGCATTGAGGGGGGAAGAGTCCAAAATGCAGAGTTCACACCCAGAAGTCTTGTACCTACAAGACTAGAGAGCAGAGCTGGACATAAGGCAACACAGAGGACAATACACTTAATGTAACACTTTGGCTGCTCCGTGTTGCAAGATAGATGCAACTTAAAACCATGTGTGGGCTACACTAGGTTGGGTTAAAGTTAATTTCTCAGCTTCTTTCTTGGAGGACTATGTGGAGAAGATGTCATTCTTAATTTTTTACTAAATAGCAGCTTCCACTGAATGCTTCCATATCTGCTGAGGTTCAAAACCTAACCAGAAGAGGCTGTGATGTTGTCATAGCTGTCTTCCTCCATCTTAAAATGCACTGCACTACCAGTAAGGCATCAGCTGACATCTAAAGCAGGAAGACACAGCAAATATTCAAAGATCACTGGCCTGCATTAGCATCACACATGGTGCTATCAGAAAAATGGACTACAACTGATAGGCAGCTATACTTCCTCCTCTTGGTGTTGATACAAACCAGGCTAAAGTCACAAAGAGAAATAATTTTCCATTTGTAGTAAGAGTACGGGTTTTTTTTTCCTTTCCTAACCGTGCTAAGATCCATAAATTTTGCCTTAAAGGACAAGAGAGTCTTCCTGGACTTAAACTGCAGAAGGTGTAATCTGAAAAGTAATAAAGTAACTCTAAACAATGAGATAATACTTTAGAGGAGTATACACCGCTTACTACCACCTCAGCCAGTCTGATCTATTATCGTGCCAGATACAGAGAGAGCAGATGTCTCATTGTGGTGAAAAAGGCTATAAAACAATTAAATTATAATAGAAAATAACACTTCTCATAGCTAAAGGCACTCTTCTCAGGATCTGCCTCTGTTCCATACAAAAGCTCAGTTGGTCATGTTACGTAAGATAATAATGGATTCCAAAAGGGCTTA